GATCCTTTTCGGATCACCTTGGGGCTGTCCGGATTTCAGTTAGGGCATCAATTCGGTTTGTCTGGACAGGCCACAATCTTGGACACACAATATAAGGTAACAGGAGGGTGACTCTGATGTATGTCATATTGTGTGTATGTGTATGTAACTGCATGTGCCACTGTGTGTGTATTTGTGTGTCTGTGTGTGTGTGTCTGTGCCAGTGTGTGTATCTGTGTGCCACTATGTGCCAGTGTGTGTGTATCTGTGTGTCAGATACATACACACACACAGAGATACACACTGACACACAGATACACACTCTGGCACATACAAACACAGATACACACACCTTGACACACAGACACACACCGGCACATAAAAAAAAAAAAAAGGTTTATGCAATGGCGCAATTTATTTATTTATTTAATAAAAAAAAAAAGATTTTTATTTTTGCAGTGCATAATAAATGGTAAGGCATTTCTGAAGTGCCCCTAAGGCAGTCTTCAGGCTCTTCCTCACTTAACATGCGGTGAATATGATTAACTGGCACATTTTTATGTTTAAAGCAGGCTTAGTGGACGACAAACCTTTTGTTAGGGACTGGGGCAGATAGCACAGGAGCGTTGATTAATGCGTTCTTTAATGTCTGAAATGCTGTTTCGCAGGCGGGAGACCACAGTACTATCCTAGGTAGATTCTTTTTGGTCAAGTCTGTTAAAGGTTTGGCGATGCTACTATAGTCTGGGACAAATTTCCTGTAGTACCCTGCCGTCCCTAGAAAAGCCAGTACCTGGGTCTTGGTTTGGGGTGTGGGCCAATTAGCCACAGCCTCAACTTTGGCTGGCTCTGGCCGTTGCTTCCCACATCCCACCCGGTGTCCCAGGTACTGTACTTCGGCCATGCCAAAATTAAATTTTTCTGGCTTCAGAGTGAGGCCTGCGGCCCTAATCTGATCCAGTATGGCCCCCACCTGTCGGAGGTGTTCTCCCCAGGTTTCGCTGTAGATCGCAATGTCATCCAGGTACGCACATGCGAAATCCTGGAAGCCATCAAGTAGCCTGTCGACCAAGTGCTGAAAGGTAGCGGGGGCGTTCTTCATCCCGAATGGCATGACTTTGAATTGGTACAAACCAAATGGGGTGACGAAGGCCGACTTGGGGACAGCCTTCTTGGCTAGGGGAATCTGCCAGTACCCCTGCAATGCGATCTAGGAGCTCGTCTACTCGGGGCATGGGGTACGCATCGGTCACTGTCCTATCATTAAGACGTCTATAGTCGACGCAGAACCTGGTGGTCCCATCCTTTTTGGGTACCAGTACTACGGGGGAGGCCCACGGGCTGTCTGAGGGTTCTTGGATCTCTTCCCTCATCTCTTCTTTAACTGCCTCTGGGATCCTGTAAGGGGTCTGTCTAAGTGGCGTCTGCCCTGGGGTTTCCACATAATGGGTAGCTAACGTCGTGTATCCTGGCTCTTGGGAGAATGTCAGTCTCTTCTCTGTCAACAGCTGTCTGATCTGTCCCTTTTCTGCCGGGTTCAACCGCAAGCTTGATGATCTCAGCCAATCCGCACTGACACAGGAAGCACCTCTAGTGACCGTCTGAGTGTCTGTCACTAGGAAGCAATGTAAACAGTGCCTTTTCTCTAAAAAGTCAGTGTTTACATTGAAAAGTCTGCAGGGACAGGCTATAGACACCAGAACCACTACATTAAGCTGTGTGTGTGTGTGTGTGTACGTGTGCGTGTGCGCGCGCGTTTGTGCGTGCCTGCTACTGAGTGAGCTTGTGTTTTTATGTCAATGACTTTATGTATATAAGTGAGATTGTTTGTTTATGAGGCTGTGTATCAATCATCTTGTGTCAGTGAGATTGTCTGTGTCTACATGTGAGTATGCTTACTGTATAATTAAAAATTTTACTCTGAAAGGACCAATATTTTATATTGGAAAAAGCAATATATATATCAATCATCTAGGGTGGCAAGACATAGCCTTACATATTACATGCAACAATATATGGCGCAATGACTTATGGGGCTGGCATAGATTTTTTTTTCCAGGGCTGCTTTGGAATCCCCAGTCCGGCCCTGCTGGCTATTACGTAAGTAGTGTCACATACTTGGGCTACCACCTTGTAAGGGCCCTGCCATGAGTTCTGGAGCTTGTTCCCTTTTACTGGTCTGAGGACTAGCACTTTCTGTCCCACCTGGAAGGTTCTCTGGCGGGCACCCCTATCATACCACCTCTTCTGTCGACCCTGGGCAGCCTGGAGATGGTCTCTAGCCATCCGAGCTAACTGCTCCATGCGGTCTCTCATCTCCAGAACGTATGGTACAATCGGGACACCCTCATGTTCCATCTCTCCTTCCCAGTGCTCTCGGATGAGGTCGAGGGGGCCTCGCACTCGTCTTCCATAGAGCAGCTCGAACGGAGAGAACCCAGTGGATTCCAGCGGCACCTCTCGGTAGGCAAACAAGAGGTGCAGCAAGAATCACTCCCAGTCTCTGTATTCCGCTGTAAAGGTCTGCAGCAATTGCTTTAGGGTACTATTAAAGCGCTCACAGAGACCGTTAGTCTGGGGGTGGTACGGGGAGCTGAGCAGGGTCTTGACACCACAGACCTTCCATAACTGCTGGGTTAGGTCTGCGGTGAACTGGGTCCCTCGGTCAGATAGGATTTCCTGAGGGAATCCCACTCTGGTGAATATCCCGACTAGGGCACTGGCGACAGTGTCAGCTTGGATATTCGTCAGAGCGACAGCCTCTGGGTAGCGGGTAGCATAGTCCACTACTGTAAGAATATACTTCTTACCCGAGGGACTGGGGTTAGAAAGAGGTCCCACTAGGTCGACTGCCACCCGGCTAAACGGTTCCTCGATCACAGGCATGGGTGACAGTCGAGCTTTAGGGTGGTCCCCTCTCTTCCCTTCTCGTTGGCATGTGTCACAGGTACTGCAGTAACCCTGCACGTCTTTCGAGATCCCAGGCCAGAAAAAGGTCTGTGTGATCCTGTAGTCGGTGCGGTTACCCCCTAAGTGCCCTGCCAACGGAATGTCATGTCCAATTCGGAGAAGTTCCAACCGGTACTTTCTGGGTACCACTAGTTGGCGCTTCTGCGAAGGGATACAGCCTCTCCTCCTACCTTGGGTATAATCTGTCACCCTCCCATAGAAAACGCTCCCGCTCATCCCCTCCACTGTCGGCTAATTCCCGATACTTTTGGAGGGTGGGGTCCTGTCTAGTTTCCCTCCCAAACTCCTCTGGGGTGTCCCAAGCTATGGGTCTTTCTACCGTGTTAGGGCTGAGTGTCTGTTTGTGGCTTACCTGGGCCTCCCGTTCTGCTGGAGGATTGTCCTCGATACCAGTCTGTGAGCGGGTGGTCATGGGACAAGCAGCAGCAGTCGTGGGTAGATAAGCTGAAGCCAGAGGGCCAATGTCGTTGCCCAAAACGACTTCGGCAGGTAAATTGTCCATGATTCCGACTGTGGTCTTTCCCTACCCGACTCCCCAATCCAAGTGTACCCTGGCAGTGGGTAGGTGAAAAACAGCCCCCCCTGCAACACGGACAGCAACAGTACGGGTAGATACATGCTCCGGTTTCACGAGGTGTTTCTGCACCAAAGTGATGGTAGCGCCAGTGTTCCTTACACCTTGTGCTACCTGTCCATTTACACGCACCTCCTGGCGGTGATGCTGGCGGTTATCTGGGCATGCAGCTTGTATGGGGTTTGCCTCGTACAGGATGCCCAAACATTCCTCAGGGCTCCCTTTGGTTTCCAGGCAGTGAGCAGCAGAGGTACGTGATGAAGGGGTCTCTGTGTTATTGGTTGAGCGCCTCCAGTTGTTTTTGGCTGATCCCAAGGGGCAATAATGAGCTGTGTTGCCGCAGCAATGGCACATAATTTTGTAAGAATCCCGGGGTTGGTGGTTAGACCCCTGAGGCCGTGGAGGTCCTGGGGGTACTGGGGCCTGAAATTCTGTGCGTGCAGCGGGCGTTGAGGTGCGTGGTTCTGCTCTAGGGGTTGGTCGTGTGGACCCTTGGCTCACCTTTATTGACTCTGCGTATTCGTCCGCTAGCCGCGCTGCCTCGATTAAGTTAGCAGGGCGACGATCTCTCACCCAATCCTGTATGTCTGCCGCCAGATCTTGGAAGAAATGTTCCATTAGGAAAGCTGTAGTACTTCCTCTCCTGTGTTCGCATTGCACCCTTGCACCCAATGTGATGCCACCCTTTGCATCTTGTTTGCCCATTCCATGTGGGAGTCTGCAGCCTTCTTTATAGACTCCCTGAAGCGACGGCGATACGTTTCCGGGGTGACGGCTTATCTGGTGAGCAGTGCAGCCTTCACCCGGCGATACTGCGCAATATCTTCCTCAGTAAGCACCCGAAAAGCCTCAATTGCTTTTCCTGATAGCTTTCCAGCCAAAATAGTGACCCATTGGTCTAGTGGTATTTGGTGTAGTGAGCACTGCCTCTCGAAGTCAGCCAAATATCCGTCAATCTCTTCCTCACTTTCCACAAACGCTTTGAACGCAGTGAAGGGTATTTTCTGCCCTGTAGCAGCTGGTGGGGGAGTATGAACTGCATGTGCAATGGTTTGTCTAGCTCTTGCCAGTTTAAGTTCGTGTCCCCTCCTATTTTGTATCTCCGTTCTCGCTTCCCGGAACAGCTGATCTATTAGTTCCACGGATGTTGCTGGGTACATGGATAATCTCCGCTGAACAAGATTTGTAATTTCCTCCTCCTCGCTGACAGGGGTAGGTTGGTCCGCGACCTCCATGGATCGATCCATCTCGTCCAGCTCCAGTAGGTCAGCTATCAGCTCTCTCCGTGGTCAGTTGCTGGCACTCCTTCCTCTGGTTTCCAATAGATCCTTTAGTGTGGGTCTTTTCAGTTTAGCGTACTGGGATTCCATTCAGCACTTGCTTTGGGGATGAAAAGGATCATCCCACCGCTGCCACCAATGTAACGGCTACCCAGCTGGAGAGGGGTATCTGCCGTTGGAGATGTCCTTTTCTAGGCAAGCTGCTGTGAAGTAATGGAGTTCTTGTTCCCATCCACGATATCCAAGTGTATAATCCAGGAGTGCTGTAAAATGAGGCAGAGTAACAGTACCATAAATCCCCTCCAAGAAGGAGACGAGGCTACATTTTGAAGGGTCAAGTAGAACTGATGTTTATTGACAGGGGGGTCTCCTTTTATGCAATAGTGCCCTCTGAAAGGCTACACCCACATAATTATCACAACAGCCAATTACATACATGGTTCAACCCCCACGTCTCCTCCCCTCAGATAACATATAACACAATTAAAACAGACACAATTTGAACTACATTCTGGATGTACCCCAAAAACAGGGAGTAGCGGTCCATCGCCGCTTAATAGCTCTCACTCAGGGGAACAATATATCCAAATTTCAGCCCATTCGGTTGAGGGGTTCAGGAGTTATGGATCTTTGAAGTTTTGACCGACCGCACAGGTTTTCTAGCCGAAAAGAGTTCCATAATTTTTGGCCTTGCGGTCGGTCTCCGTTCGTGCATAAAAACCCCACGAACCGCTTGCTATCCACAGTCATCCTAGTGTCGCCTGAATCCCCATGAATGCTTAATCAAAACTACCGAACGGCCGGTCGTTCGGTAGTTCCAGCACGAACTTACGAGCTCCTGGAGGTCTCAGCGGTGTTCGCCTGTTTGCGTATCCGTTTTTAGTTCCATGCGTTCAAAGGCAAACACCGCCGTTCGTGCGTAAGATGGCCGCGAACACGTGTAAAGTCCCGAAATGGCGGCCATCTAACCTGAGCACAAAGGGATTCGTATGAACCATGCGAATGGCTCCACAATCACTGGGAGGTAAAATAGCAATAAACTGTTCCCCTGGGTGGTCTGATGTTCGGTATTTTGGGCTTTATGTCACAGTAGCAATATTCACACGAAAACTAGCCATTCGGTTTCTATTTACACATCCAGCAGCATTGTTAATTAAGTCCAGTCAAAAGTATAGGCATAATCATAGTTCTGTTACACCAATTATCTCCAGGACAGAGGCAAAACTCCATTAGCCACATGGCAGCAAAAGACAATAAAACACATAAAAACATATAACTGTGCAGCCATTGCCCAAAACCGGTACACTCAACATATCCCCAGATAGCTCAGATCTGAGCGCACATTATTACTGAATGGCGCTCAGAGCACACACATACAGTTCAATTGTCATGGAGCCAAAGTTTTTCCCAGAGTCTTTCATTTTACAAATGGGCTCCATGGCATAGCTGTCTGGGTAACACTGCTCACATAGGGAAACTACCGAAAGACCCAGCTTTTGGGTCTTTGCAGAGGAAAATCCATCCTTTCAACATGGGGCCATAGTCACAGGGCAGGAGGCTGGCAATCAGGCTTCTCCAATGCCCAGTGGCGAGCCTGGTTCCGCCAGAGTTAGGGGTTAGGGGTTAGGGTGAGGGTGAGGGTTAGGGTTAGGGTTAGGGTTAGGGTTAGGGTTAGGGGTTAGGGTTAGGGTTAGGGTTAGGGGTTAGGGTTAGGGTGAGGGTTAGGGT